GAAGGGAATTGAAAATTACAGCACCCCGAATGTTTGATTGCTTCCACACGACAAGGGTATCGGTCCGCTACAAATATACTAACAATTTAACTCCCGACGGCAGTTTCCGGACTAACAAATGAATTTTGGCGGACTCCCAATGGGATTTATGCTGTAACGAGTCAACAGCTCACTGTTCTTTGACCAGACTCTTGTGACATGTGTTACTTCACAATAATAATCTGCCAGTGGAAGCAGTCATCCGGTTTTCCAGAAGCTGTGGGAGGCGCTGTTCTTGGAACCCGAAACGCGAAACAACAGTTAGTGGAGAGAGGCCTACAGCGTATTTAACAGTAAGTTGCACGGGATGGCGGGTGTTCTGATACTCTCTGAGACTAATAATGACTTCGTGTTATTTCCCCAGCTAGCCTACCATAACGGCCTTCTATAACAAATGGTGGTTTTTCCTGCAGTTGGCTGTAATGACCCATCTACTCCTTGCCTAAGTTGAGTCATCCATCGCGCGCGCTCAGACACGGAGAGGATGATCGTTTTTTGAAAATACAGGAATTTGGTTGCAGAAATAGAGTATTTTTCACTTCATTTGCCCGGTTTAACAACTCAAGACCGCTAAAAAAGCAAATATTTATCAAACTTTTAGGCATGAAGACATATCTACTTAGGTGTAATTGTTAGCTGTTTTGACGAGAGGGAAGTCGATTGACGGAGCAGTCCAGGCGGTTTCGCGGACTGGTATTTATGACATAAATCAGCTTACTGACTATTTGTTAGTAGACGTAAATATACTCACGCTGTAGTTGTTGCTCCACCTCGCGCATGTTTGTCAGCAAGTCATTTCCTTCCTGATGTGGTGAGGTTGATGAGGAGGGACGGGTTCTCGCCATCGGAAGACCGCTGGATTCAAGCGTGTACCCGGAATTCTCGCCACTAGTTGCCCTGCAAGTGGACGGATTATGCATTTGAATGGCTGCTAAGCGTTACTTGTACGGGAGAATTGCGTCATATTCTGCTATGCTTTGGCAGTTAGCCACTGTTTTATGGAATGAATCAGAAAGTCTCTACTGCTGTCTCACGTAAAATGCGACACATTTTCCAGCCAAAAATAAAACTACTTACCGTAATGTGTCACTCAAAGCATACCAATCTCAAAAGCTCATCATTCCAACCGCGACTACTGCCTTTGGATTTAGTAGACGTCAGTTGCCAGAAGGACACCGACTGGAAAAAGCAATCATTTTTTTTCGAGTGACCATGACGAGCGTTTCTAAAGGAATTTAGCTCTACTCACCTGGGCGGCCAAGAGGCAAAAATAGGTTCCGTCTCAGTCCTCTTGATGGGAGTAGGTTTTGTGGACCGACATCCTTGGGGGAAACGCTAGAACCATTAAATCTTCGTACGTATCTTAGTTAGCCTAGTTTCTGGCTAACTGGCGCGTTCAAGGCTGAGAGATAGTAGATCAGTTTTCCGAGGAGGTAGGCTGCGAAATAAGTTGGCTCTCAGGTCAAGCGTTTCGGATTCTCAATTAAATCCATACTCAGAGACTAAGTCAGATTAGGGCATCGGATTAACCAGATGTTGCAGTTTTATAGGATGTAGATGCTAGGCCACTACATTTCTGTCACAACTAGCAGCCTCCGAATGCATCACGGATCGTATGGTGTGATAATCTTCTAACTGGCAAGATTTTGCAGTAAAAATTTGGTATGCACTTGCGTACCTGTAAAAATTATCGGATCCACGTTGTTACCTGTGATGCGATGATTACCCATAGTCCATCCGTTTCTGATGATTCGTTCGAGCGAGAATCCGAAACGCCAGGCTAATAAAGCTCTTGTTCCAACGATCGTATTCGCGTCATGGGCTCGTTGCCTTGGCAGTTTCGATTTGGAATCTACATACTGGTAGACAGACGCTCACCGATTGGTTACAGGACTCATTTGTCTCACTGTGTCAGCAGCCGCGGCTTTGCTTTTTAGGTCATAAAATACAACACATTTACAGACCAAAGTGCTTGAGATGAAAATTTCGTGTTTCAGTAGATAACCTGATTTGCCTGATTTACACGCGTTGAAGTTGGGGATAATTTTGCTAACAGGAGCAAAGAGACGAGTTGCAAGCAGGAGTCACAAAGAGGAAGAGAGCCACGATCGCTGGAACAAGATCTTTTCTAGCCTAACCTTGTGGATTCTCGCTGGAAGCCATAATCAGGGACAAAATCATACGCGCGTAATGGATTGCCCAGAAGCTGCAATATGTCATTACAAGGCCACTACATGCCTGTCACAATCGGTATCTCCTGAATGCATCGCGGATCGTTGCAGGCGGTGTAATAAATGTCTAACTGGTCAGGAATTGCATTATGTGGTTTCTATGCATCTGCGTGCCTTTCAAAGTTATCGGCTCCCGTGCTCATCGCACGTAGCTGCATTTGGTGCGATGATTATCCGAAATCGAATTACTAACGGCCGGAGTTTTGTCATCTGCTTCTGATGATGAATTCTCGTGACAATCCGAAACGTCAGGCTGGTAGAGCTCTTGTTCCAGCGATCATATCCCTTTCTTCGTCATCAGCCAGCCACAGGGCTATCGACCCGGGGGGGTCTCGAACCCGAGACCTTGCCGGCTAAAAGTCCAACGCTCTAATCACGGCACCACAGGCTCGTTGGCTGAGAAGGCACACCGGTACGACCGCGTTCAATAAACCGACCAGTAAACGCAGCGGCCTACATTAGCAAATATTCCTTATCAAACTGCACAGGACAACGATGCCGTAGCGCACAGCGGTAGAGCGTTAGACCACCTAACGACCCCTTTGCTTCGAATCCCAGACTGCCGGTAGGGTTTGGCTAACTGATGGCGGCTATTAATTCAGTCGCCCTGCTCGTTGCCGGTACTTTCTCCCCCGCTTGCAAATCTTTTAGGCATCTGCAGAAACTAGCAATCGCTCCAACAAATTCAGCATCGGGTTGAAAGCCTTGGAATTAGACTTCGTATTCCGACAGCTTAAGCGCTGAAAAATATAAACG